GGTTTTAGGTATATGTAGGGTACGGGGTTGAGGGGTGAGGGCGGAAATTGAGAAGGCCTGCGGCAGGTTCCCCTCAACGAACATGCCGCGTCCGGCAAGTGTGACAGTGCAACCCTGGAGTCCTAAGAACCTCAAAAAGCCCCTTAAGCCTCTTCTCTCTCGTAAAATAGCACAAAAGCCTCATGTAGTCTGGTGTTTGGGCCCCAAAGCCTTAATGTATGAGTCCTTAGAGAGCTATGGTATAAGGGTGAGCCCTTGTGCAATGTGCTTCCTCACAGTTTCGACTCAAACCTGGCGAGACAAAGTGCAGGCCATAGAGGAGCTCGGCTATGGCACTGCAAAGGACGCAGTGGCATGGTTGTGCCTCGGCTTGTCTTGATACCGTTGGTTAGTAGGGAATGGAAGAATTGTAGTAATAGTAGTTATAATTGTACTAACCAACGGTAAGTCTCGTTAAGGCTTGGCGCCTCGAGGCGGCATTCCTCACGATCACCACAAACAGTGCAAGTTTTAGCTTATCTATCAAGAAAGCGTGTCAGCTTTATTTGCCGACAAGTATACGACCAGCTCAGGAACGGTGGTGGTGGACTACCAGAACTGCGAGTGAGCCGGCTGTGTGGAGGGGGGGGGGACTTAACGTCTTGGAGCTTATTTTGCTTCGCTTCCAGAATCACCGGTTGGGGAGATTGTGGCATGTCACATTCATCAGCCCTGGAGCCTGGACTCCCCAAGCGCTATAACCCTGTGTGTGCACATCCGAGCTGTGACTGCCGAGACCTTACATAGCCCTAAACGTCCCTTAACACTGCAACCCTAAACTGGCTCTGAAATCGTCAACCCTACGGCCCCACGCCCTGGGTGTAAGCCTGTTCAAAGATGCTTGTCCAGGATGCACTTCGCAAGGCGCGAGCCGAAGGTGTGTCAAGTGTACCACAGTATTGCGCCCCGCCAGCAGCCTTAGGGTTTGGGGCTTAGGGTGTGCCATGCCTGTCGGCAGTGGCAAAAAGAACCTCCGAAACCACAACACACACAAAGAAACGTCCAGAAACAAAACAACACAAAGACAAGCATCCAGTCTACCACAACACAAATACAAAGCATTCGCTCCAAGTCTATAAGTCCCACATTTTGTAGCAAAGTCCAGGCATCCAAGCCGAGGGGCCCGGCGCCGTGGAGCCCACCGTGTTCTCGGGCGCACAGGCTTCCCTGGTTGGTCAAAGGTTAAGGATTAAGGCTGAGGGTTTAGGGCAAAGTTGGAGCCTTGGGTTGGAGTTTCGGGTCTCGGAATGTTTAAGATGAACCTTGCGGAGGTGTAATTGCAATGTAAAGGGAAGGGGAGGGGAGCCCGCCTCAAAGCATAAGTATGCACATGAATCACATCAACCTGGACCGCATTTGAGTTGCAAGGGGTTTTGGTTTTGTTGCCCTCGCGATCGGTAGTCTTGTCTTGTGTAGTCTTTTTTGAAACGATACGCTCCTTCTCTCCCTAAACCCTGTACCCTAAACAAATCACGAAGCTCTCAGCTCCGGCCATTAGCCGCGTTTTCCGTCGTCAGATGCCCTGCTTGATGTCGACGAGGTGCTTTTAACTCTCCACAGACACTTAGAGACGGCAGTGCAACCGTGGAGTGTGAATGCTGCTGCTCAGCACCTCTTTTTTAACTCTTTTGAAGAGCTGAAGCCGTGTTGCCTCAGCTCGTTAAGAATAGCAGCTGAGTTTTGTCAGAATATGCACCAAGCCGGTTGAATGTAACAAGTTGCCAGCAACTGTATGATCATATGATAGACCCTACTGGGCGTGGCAAGCCAGGTGATGGAATCGTCGGCGACATCCTGACCACGAAACCTCTACTTCGGTTGATGATATAAGTCCTGCATTACCTTAAGGACCCGAAACTATGGGAATTATGGTATATTCCTTATTCTGGGTAATGCAGGATTTATATCATCAACCGTTCCACACCTTCTCAACTCCAAACCCCGAAGGTCCTATTAAACAGACACCCTCGCAGTCTTATGTATGCTAGTGCCTCGTATGAATCAGGACAGCCGAGCCTTCTTATCCGTCATGCGGCAGCAGCTGTCTTAGGCGCGACCCGGCTGTCGTCATGCGTGTGCTTTTAGCCTGTGCCTACGTTTAATTGGCTTGTTTCCTGTTTCTACCAAGATATGTCCGTGCGTGTGTGTAATGATTACACGGTAGCAGGTATTTCCGCTCACCTCCCCTCCCCTAGTCAGAGTACTTTGCCTGCATCCTTTGTGCCGGGTACATAAAGCGACAGGCTGTCTGACTTATGTCCCACCACGGGTTGTCTGCATCGTCTGCTTTTCGTGACGTCTTACCTAAAGTCTTGGCTCGTCTTCATTCACATGGCTCAGGTAGGAGGCTGCTAGGAGGCTTGTTGCAAGTTTGAGTGTTGGCTTCCGGATCGAGCACTAGAGGGAAAGCCCGCACAGGTGGAAACTTAATGCATAAATATCACCCGTCCCATCATCGCTTCATCTGAACATAGGAGCTTCTTAGAGCGGCCTGGGTAATTCAAACAACCAAACACCGAGCACCAAGCTCTGTTAGAATCGGGGCCCGCATGCTAGCGGCGGTTGCCTTGCTTGTTCGAGGCCTAGGTTGGTTGAGGAGGCTGTTTTCCTAATTCTTGTTGAGTGAATTGAAGTTCAGATGAGAGTCTGTTGTGCGAGAAGTTCAACCGCAACGAAGCTGTCCGTCAGTGTAAGACTTTTGCTGTAGTATAGAGGCCTTAACAGCTAGAACAGGGTTTTGGAGACGAGTATACTATGTTTAGTATAAGGAACCCCCCAAATAGTATCAATAATAATTATCTAGGTCCGTATATTACTAGGGTTTCACGCTTGAGAGCATCTTGGGTATCGTGGACGGTATCGTACCTCCTTGTGGCACAAGAGGCGAGGTCTACGTGACTTACAAATATGGCACGATAAGATGAACAAAAAGTATCCCTCGTGGTCCCTATCATAACAAAAACGTAGCTCTTTAATGACCACGTCCGTTACAGCCTTCTAGTCCTACTTCAACCGCAGTATAATCAATTAGTAGGATTAAACACCCTGTGCAGGCTGCGCAGTACCTCATGTCCTGAGGTTTCTTGGGACCAGCCAGTGACGCGAGAGTCCAGAAGAGCAGAAGCAGTAAGTAGTCGGCCAGTGCTGCATAAGATGGGGTTTGTTTTCGGTGATCGTGGTTATCGCAAAAAACAACATGGCCAGGCCCCAACAGTAAAGACGAACATCAGATATCGAGTGTGTACGAAGCTTGAAGAGAGGATAGCTGAATCAGAAGCTCTGCACCTCAGCGCCTCAGCGCAAGCAACAAGGCGTCAAGGTTTCCGAAAATTAGGTATTATCCTACTATCTAGGGCACTATATTAGGGTCCCCTCTTTCCGGAAACTCCCGTACGTGGCTTAACCTTTGAAGCATTTAGCTTCCTCGAACTCTCGCTGAGAGCTGTTCCAGAGAGCATAGGACCCGGGGCAATCCTCTCCGCAGAAATGGGGAGGCTGCCCGAACTTTTTGTTGGGATGAGCAGAAATTTGAGAGCTAGCGATTCACCAGCCTCCCCGAACCCGAATCCTTAAACCATATCCTACACCCTGAACCCTAGCCTTAACCCTTATAAACATTGTGTAGGCCCTTATTTGAGATTGAAGCAGCCTGCTCCCAGTCGGAGCGCGCTGCGGCCATGGAAGGTTCTGCAGATGCACGGATGGCGGTCCAGAATGCGGATTGGAGGGTTTAGTGTTTTCCGAGAAGTATGATTAGTCTGATGGCTGTTGTTACTATTGCAACTCGTGTTGTTAGTGTTGCTGTTGAGCATAGGTGCATTAGGTGCACATCGGCAGTCTTGCCAGCAACTAAGGCCTCCCTACAAGCATAGGCCACAGCTCCATCATGCAATAGACGTCAGGCAGTGCTAAGCTATCAGATGTTGACTTAGGGTTTAGCAGTTTAGCAATTAACGCGAAACCCTGAATCCTAAATAAACCCTAAGTAAACCCTGCATCCGTTGAGGAATTACGGAAAAGGGTTTAGGGCTTAAATGTCTCTTCTGGACCAGTCTCGGATGCCTGCAATTGAGCTTCCGGTGGCAAGTGTATGGCGACCTCGGCTCCGAGGAAATGAAACTGTTGATGGACAAAATCCTGCATGACCCTAAGGACTCTAAACTATAGGAATTTTGGCATATTCCTTATAATGGGTACTGCAGGATTTTGTCCATCAGCAGAAGGAATCCTGCTTGATCGGACATGGCACCTGGCCATGCTGCATGTTGGGAGTCTGAGTTGCTTATAACTGATATCCCGTATGATAGTCCTTGTATAACTTGTATTCTTTACCCTAAACCCTAAAACCGTCATAGTTGCCTTTTGATGGTCCTTGTATAGTATACCCTATTCACCCTAAACCGTTGTTGTACCCCACTATGTCCCCGGACCCCAGTCCGATCGCACTTGCTCGCCGCTTCGAGGCTCCCACATCATCGGTACCGGCTCTTCTTTAGCTTACCTTTGGTTAGTAGGGAATGGAAGAATGGTAGTAATAGTAGTTATAATTGTACCCCATTCCTCCATTCCCTACTAGCGAAGGTAAGTTAGAAGCAGAGGAGCGCAGCAGAATAGGACATCCTGCGCCCACAAACCTATGAGCTCAACACTCGTCTCTCACAGCACTCGTCTCTCACAGCACTCGTCTCTCACAGTGTTTCGAGCCTAGACTTTAGGGACACAGGAATAGGGATGTCTGCATCGATATTGTCTATACTTCGACTCCTCGCCCTTGCAAACCCTCACCCCCAAAAGCCGTCGTAGAATAGGAGGCGAAAAATCCCTACCCAAATCTATTGCAAGCCAGCGAAATCCCGAACACCTACAGGCCCTAGTTGAGTCCTAGTCCCTGAACATTGCCGCATTTTTGCAGACAGACTGAACATTTTTTCTGCAGGAGCTGTCCCTGCCATCTGCCTGCCATGGTCGTCAGGATCTTGTTGGCGCTGATTCTGGCAGTCCCTTTATCGACCGGAGCCGAAGAACTCCGATGCAACAAGTTAGGATTTTTTTGGTTTAGGGTTCGGGATTAGGGTTGTATAAGGCGGGCAGAAGGCGGCGGGCATGTACAAGTCTGTGCAACAAAGGGTTGCACAAGGTTCCCAGCAATTCCAGTCAGAAGCAAGGAGCTGCGAAAGAACAGCTCGAACCAGGGTCGACATCTCACTCCTCAGCCCCAAGCAGTTACTTCAGGTTCTAGACCCTACAAACCTTGACTACTTCCGGAAAAGCCTGAACCTGCGAGGACCGTGGGGTCTTTTTACAAACTCGTTGATATGCTGTATACAAGAGCCTTACAAAACAAAAGCGCCGCATGGGATATCGCCGCTTGAAGTACAAACCTAATGAGCCCGGTCGCATACTACAGAAGCCGGCACACAAGCCTGAACATAGCTATTACTGTTTCTTGGGTCTCCTTAGTATCAGTTTAATATAGTATACTATACACAAACGCCTTATCCTGGAATCCAGGCAATATATAGAATCTGCCCCGAAACCTGCGTTGGAATCGCTAGAAACCCTGTAAAGGAATCATGTATAAAGCTTCTTATTCTATATGACTAAGGAGCTTGGGGAAGCCATCCCGGTCGAGTTCGCGAACGGGACTTCGCGGGAAATGTCTGGCGTTTGGGGGTTGGAGCGGTTTTGGGGTTTGGAGTGGTTGCCTTTTGGGTATCATACTGGAATGGTGGATGATCGAATTTAAAGGTGTGTCGGTCGGATTCGTAAGACTAATTCAAAAGTGCGGCTGCCGAAGGACCAATGCCTCAGCGATTCTGGAGACCAGCTCCTTGGTAGAGGCCGAGAAGGTCAGCATTGCTGGCTATGGCATGTGGCTTCTGCTCCGTGGCATCACAGGGTTGATGTAGGGTTATCGTAATTCCTATGTGCTGTAGCATGGCCCAGGAGAGGAAGCTAAATGGTTGGATGAATGCGTGTCGTGGGGGGATGTGATATGGTAGATTCCAGGACTGAAATCACAACCCTTGCCGGAGGCCCTTGGCTGTGATATGCTGTTTTCTTCTTTGCATTCCGTTCCACCTACACTTGCAGCAGAGCATGTATAAGTACACTCAAAGAGGTCAAACACTTGCTTTTTCTCTTGGAAGGTCATACACGCGGCACGCGTTCTGAGTAAGTCGCGTGACCACTGAGCATGAAAGTGGGAGTTGTTGGGCCTTTGTTCAGGTCTGTGTTCCTCGTCAAGGCTGCAGCAAGGCTCTGAGAAGACGGGAATGTGTTGAAAGGCCGGGCAAGAACCGAAGACCAGGTCAAGACCCACAGCCCCGTTGTGTTCATTGTTATGCGTCCCAGGAGAGAAGTGTAACTGCATGTATCGGGCTAGGAGACAACCTCAGTCCAGAGCAATCTCTTTTTGACTCAGACAAATACCAAGTGTAAACCATGTATTCCAGCCCTCTTCGCATCCTGGACCTAAAACCTTATTAAGCCGTAAACCCCCAAATAACCTACCTTTTTGGGGACAGATATAAAGAAGCCATATAAGGGAACCCTACGGGGTAGGTTATTTGAGGTCCAGGTAGGTCGTACTCCCAAAGCTTGGCTCAGCTCAGGTTTGGTGTGGTCGTCCTCGCGGGCTTGGCTCCTCATCTGCATAGATTTCATGTAGACGTCTCCTCCTAGAGCCCTAAGAAGATGAGTTTAGGGTTGGGGGCTGTTAGGGTTTGAGATTTTATAAAGGTCCGTAGAAACTGGTATTGGGGTTTAGGGCCTGGAGGGCTTTTGAGGGTTACGGTTTTAGCATCTCAGAAAACCATTCCAGTTGTTACACAGCGCCAAAGGCTCTGCCTGTATGCAGCGGAGACTCTCAACCCCGGCTGGAGGGATCAGAATGGTTATGAAGCAAATCTCCACTCGCTTGCCTTGTAGATCTACGGTAGGACATACGCAAACCCAAAGGGCGAAATGATGGCCTTGCCGAGCTGCAGCTACAGCTTCGTCTGGTGGAAAGCACTGCTACGGCCTAGGGCTTCGGCCAAGCTTATGTTTCAAGTGTTACACTATATCTATGTAACCGCACGTTCTATTTTGCATATTCGTAACTGTCTGATACAGAAGGGCTATGGTGCCTGCGCTTTTGCACCATATGTTCGCACATGTGTTGTTATGATCTGTGCTATACGTTCGAAATGATATGTATTATCTGTGGCTTAGTTTATATGGTCTATACAGTTGTGAGAGCAGCAGATCTTCTTGTGTTGCCCGAAACCCCAATCCTAGCCTAAACCCTTAAACCCGAAGCCGTCCAAGGTGGTAGATCAACTCTGCGGAGCACATTTCGTGTCCTGTGGCCAAACAGTTCGCGACCCGTCTGGCAAGTGACGAGAGGTTAAGGCGGGCTCCTCTAAGGGGTTTTTCTAACCATGGACCTACAAGGGATCTACAGGGTCATGCTTGTGGGTTCAGGGTTGGGAGGTTTATAGGGCTAGGGTTGTGTATAGTTTTGGTCGGATTCTTGCGATGTGGTTTAATTAAAATCAGAACGAGCTGTACAAATGTTGACGAGCTGTCGGAACCGTGACCTACTGTAGGATCGTTTATTGGACATGCGATCATATGTGCGTACGATTATCCACGAAAGTATTTGGTAGGTATAAGCAATACGACACACCGAACGACGTGCACAATTCTCTTCCATGCGAAACCTGGAAGCCAAAGTGAATCCTGTTTGTGGAGCTATGCTCTAATCACTTCGCAAGGTTCTTACGTGTGCAATATAGATTATCGGGGCCTTAACCTTAATAATTACCTATCCTATTTGGGGTGGTTTCTTATTTATTATAGGACAGGCTTCGCCCGCATCCACCCCAAAGCCCTGTTCCAATTATTTAGGCCCCTATACTTTTTTTGATGAATTAAATTAGGAGACCTTAGTTTCATCATGCCTAGCTTGGAATTCCTCAGGAGTTCTGATGATAAGCCCTAAACCCTGAATCCAAAATCCTGGCAAGGCTTTGTCTGGCGAATGCAAGTGTCAATCCCAAAAATTCATGAGTGTACTGTAATTTAGCCGAGGAGGGGCAATCTACATCAGCTCTGGCTGGATTGGCTTGGCCCTCTTCTTCGGACTCATCATCTGTGTCACGAAGGGTGGGCCCGTGGCAAAAGTCCATGCCTCCTGCTTTTTGCGGGGGTTGGGGCTTATGATTTCAAGTTTAGTCATGCAAGCGACAGGTTCGGCGTCACAGCTTCAGGAAAGGTCTTGATCGAGAGTCTGCAAAAAGCCATCGTTGCAGCAACAAGTGCTTAACTTGCTGCGACATTGCGGGTTACCCTAAACAATATCACCACCAACGCCACAAACAACAACAGCAGCCCCGATAGACCCCAAAGCCAACCTGACAGATCTCTATCCTGTCGTCCCCAGAGGCACTACTGTAGGGGCCTTTAATTCTTAATGATTAGAACAGGGTGTTGGTGCCCATTATTCTATCAATATAGTAATGAACCCCCGAAATAGTATTGGTGATTATTTGGGCTCCTATACTACCTTGAAATCTCCTGAAAGTCACCACTTATCCTGAGACCCACAGCCTTGCGAATCCTGACCCTCGGCCCTTCACCACAAACTATCTCCTACTATGCCGGGATCCCCGAAAACACCCAACCCCCTAAACCTCAGTGCTCACTGAAAGCTTAAACCCTGAGCCACTCCAACACAGGAGGTGAGGCTGGCTTCCTTTTCCTCACAGGCTACCTAGTGGAGGAGCTGCTTCTTCTGCTGGGCAGCGAGGGATTCAGAACTCAAAGGTTTTGCAGTTAGCTTCGGGGCTGGAGGGGTGTTTTTGTGTTGCCTGTTTAGGTAATAAAAGGATCGGTGGAATGAAGGTTTCAACGAGCGCTGTGCATGAACTTTATGTTTATGAGGAGGCCGCCTTGTAGAATCTCTGTCGAAATTGGCTCTCACCCCGACAGCAGCAGCACCAGCAATAGCCACAGCAGGTCTGCACCTCCTTCAGTCAGGAAAGCTGCTGGATGTACGCGGCGATAACAAGAAATAGCAGTCAGACGAAGCGAAACAGAACCAGCAGGAGAGCCTCAGTGTGGACAACCTGGTGGTGATTGCCTTGATCTTTCAGAGCTTTCGAATAAAGCCTCAGAACCAGGCACTGGGAGTGGAGGGCTTACGCGCCTAAATAGTTACCAATACTATTGTGCTGGTTCCTTACTATATTTTTATTTGTTACCAGTATAATGGGCCCCAAAACCCTCTTCTAATTATTAAGGCCCCTGTACTACGGGTCAGGGTCAAGTTTCAAACTCTTGGCCCTTCCTTGCCATTCCAGGGCATGAATCTACCAATCACTGAGGGCCAAGTCGTGTCTCAGACCTGGCTCTAGCTTTTCCTTAATGCCAAACCCACAGGGGGTATAGGGGCGGCCCCGTCGGGCTACTCCTAGAGCAGATTCAGCATCATAAGGAGTTGTCATGCTCTCAAGTTCTAAATATTTGCCTTTCGATGGTCGGGGTTGTCGAAAATGTACTTGTTTGATGCCAGGGGCCAGTGCTCAAGTGGGGCATTTTTGGTGCCATCGTTTTCCGCCTGATCTTCGTCTTTGCGGGCGTTTGGCTGCTGGAGCACATGCTCCTTGCCTTGATGAGAGACTGTTTGCAGAGCTGAGGGACCTCAGGTGGTGTGGAGGATCCATGTTCCGATCAGATTCAAGTCCGATGCATACGATTACGTGGGATTGTGTCTGCAACGCTGGGGCATTCCTTGGCCGGAAGTCTTGATGCCCGTGAGATCCTGGGAGGGGTGGCATTTGTAGAGTACAGCTCCATCTGGAGCTCGCCTGGAAGTATGTTAGCATCCCATAAGCAGTAAACCATCCGAAACACTTCCACCTAAACCTGCGCTAAACCCTGTAAAGCCCCCTCCACAGAATCCCTCATAGCTCTACTCTGCTGCATGGCTTTTACTTCATGCGCTGGGCATTATGTGTAGCTTCCCATCCTTTGTGAGTTTCCGGTTTTCATAGCCGTAAGATCTTCTACGTGGGTGATTGTCAAAACTAGGCTCCTTTTTGGGGTCCTGAATATGATACGGCACCTATAATTTAGGATACCCCAAAAAGGGGGCCGAATGTTGACAACCATATACGTTGCCACACTGCGGCCGGCCCAAGGCACAGCATGATCTATGTCTTCGGCGGCTTGCTCTTATGGTCCGCATGGAAAATGCACCCTGGCCTCCAAAGCACCCGGAGCCGTCGCAGGGGAGTTCAGAGTTACGGTTTAGGGTTTAGGGTATAGGGTATAGGGTTTAGGGTTTAGGGTATAGGGTTTAGGGTATAGGGTTTAGGGTATAGGGTTTAGGGTATAGGGTTTAGGGTTTAGGGTTTAGGGTTTAGGGTTTAGGGGTGGGGGGGGGGTCGGAGAATTGGCAGCACTGTTCGATAGGGTTCCTTCTTAACTAGGGTATGAAATACATAACCCCCAGAACCGATTCTAAGTGTGATGACCTGCAGCTTTGTGCTCCATGTTTTTGATGCTGCATCTCGACATGCTAAAGAGGAAACGAAGGCGATGCCGAGAAATACCAGCAGTATGTTGGCGATACTGAAGATTGACATGTTTCGTGGAAAGGGTGCCTTGCAGAAAATTACAACATTTATCGTGCGTGCATGTCCAACAGCAACACCAACAGCAAGATCAGCTGTCACCCTAGTTATGCCGTTCACCCTAAACGTCGGGTTGAGTTTTGCTTCTCTTCGATGAGTACTCGATGTAGCGGAGAAGAGGGATGCTGATTGAGCTGGAATCCCTTCGACGTAGAATGCAAAGCCGTAGCCATCAGGTATAGCGAAGAAGATGAGGGGGATTCTGGAATGGACAGCCATGCAAGCGGCCAGTCATGGATGATGCAAATCCTGACCTCTGTGGTCCCGTACCATGCAGATGCCAAGGCAGCCTTGCAGACTAGAGGTGTTTTTTCCAAGTCGTCGCTCTTAGGGGTTTAGAAGCTTGTGCTGTGGAGTCGGTGTTGAAGCGTTTGGAATTCCTCGGGGTCATAGCTTGGAAACCCTCCGGGTTTTGAGCGTTGGCATCGTGTCTGATTTATCCAAGCGGCCATGAGGGGCATCAGTTTTTCGAGCACATGGACGGCAAGACCTATGCGACGCCGATGCTGGCTGCTCTGGTGGTGGTCGAACTTAGCGATTTGATTTTTGCAGTGCCTTGGACCATCGCAGCCCGAATTCCCTCGCCGAGTCCTGACGCGAAAACCCACTCACTAAATTTAGCTGTCTGGAAAATACCATCAGTAGTAGGAACATCCCCTAACATATAGTCTAAGGCCCGTTCCGTGCCCCGGCATCCCCTGCATTAGTTCAATTCGGCGACATGCGAATCACATCGATTCGCAGGGTCAAGCTTTTACTCAGGTGGACTCCATCCCCTGCATCCTGGGCATCACCCACGACCTCTTCCTGGTTTTCAGCTCCAACATGTTTGCCGTTCTGGGCCTCCGCTCCCTCTACCTGCTCCTAGCCGAGGCGAAGCCGGCTAAGTGCTTTCGAAGAACAGTTCAAGTTGCCCAAGGCATACAAGGGTTTGGGAAGGCTGCACTTAACATGATATGATATGACATCATGTGATGTGATATGAGATGATCTGTCATGATAAGATACAAAACGGGGGACCCTGGGCGTGCACTTTTCCAGGAGTTTTAGCGCTAGCTTCAGCAGCATTTACGCAATACTTACTGAGAGAGGTACGCTCCCTGCAATAACGGAGTTTTGCTGCAGATGACACCTCAAAAGAAACCAAAAAGACCTAAAAACCAAAAACATAAAAACAAAAAAAAAAGAACAAACAAAAACATAACTAACCAACAGAACCAAAATAACCAAAAAAACTCAATTGCCAGAGACTCCTGGACTGAAATTTCCATGGCAGGAGAGTGTCGGATTTTTGTTGTTTTTGGATTTTTTGGTTCTTTTGTTTTTTTGTTGTTTTTGGTTCTTTGGGTTTTTTGGGTTCTTTTGTTGGAAGTGGCTGCCAACCCCAAAAAGCATCAAAATACGTGCGCGCCCAGGGTCAGTGGCACACATTGGGGGGCAATGCACTCTCACGGCAAGGCTCGTAGACAATGCGCGTGTATACGTGTGAGTACTGCAGTTGGTCTAGTTCAAAGCTGTTACATTGTCACTCTTGTAATTAGGCTTATCCGCGTCTGCGGGATACAGCGACCAATTATTTGTTGAGCTCCGTTTGTTTCACAGTAACTACCATTTTTACTGTTAATACGGTGACTATCAAATGTCTCTGAAATATGCAGGTCGATATTGATTCGCCGATATTTTTGTGTTTTTTGAAGGAACAACACCAGATGAAGTGTATAGCACTGGTGATCATATTGTCGTAAATTACTACAGTTACTTAATCTTATTTCAATCTCACATAGGCTCTTCACAGCATACTAGAAAACTTGGATGAGCATAGATACATGTGCGTGTGAAATATGTATGTATGCATATATATATATATATAGGTACACATACGCGAATGTGTATGAGTACCTATTTTTGAGATGTATGTGTAAACTTTGCGGATGTATACATAAAATACAAGTACTGTCGTATGCTAAACGGTCTTTTACTTCGTAAATAAAGTTGAAGGCATAATCAGCTAATCAGGCTTACTTCATTTGTTTGCACAGTTACTGATTTGCTTATCACCACGTTACTGTATAGGCAACCTATTTACCAGTTTCAAGTACTGCAATTGGATACCACTAGAAGTTTCATCTTTGATTTCATACTCGTTGTTACAACACTGGTTTGGTATTGTCGATCTTGAGAGTCTTGAACATGTCTTATCTTGTTGTGTATAAGTGTCTACACGAAGTCGGTCACTTGGAACACCGGTGCACATCTATACAACACACTGGGCAACAAACCTAAGCTTAAAAAAGCGCATTATGTTTGTAGGATCATTCACATTTACATTTTCTGCTATAGGATTTGTACATTGATTTACATGTTCAGCCTGTCCACATGTATCATGCCTTCTATATTTCGACTACTCTTCTGAACATGACCATAGCTAAAGCATGACAAGTACATGTATGTGCCACCTTACAATAGACTTGTTGCTGGTAACCTATAGAACATCGGCTTAGTGTGGATTGAAAAGTATCGTGTATCTAGTGCTATTACTGTCTATATTTGGGTTGAATGTTCCGTTACCATCTTAAACACGTACCGACAAGAGCAATGCAAAGGGCATGGTTAGTATTAATAACACGAAGATGAGAGCAAACAAAGTAGTATTTACAGATCAAGAAGTCTGTACTACATCTACAAGCATGCCCCGCGCACACATATGCGTATACATCTATGTATGTGCATTGAAAGGTCAGAGTTTGTCAACCAATGTAAGGCACTGTATATAGAAAGTGATCATATATGCAAGTATATTAACATATAAATATAAATACATATATATATATATATATCTATATATATATATATATATATGTATATAAATATGCATATATATAGATGTGTATATATATATATATAAACATGCCGAGCTCTCTACCATGCACAATTTCACACATACATGTATATATATATATGTATATAGACATATGCATATATATTTATCCGTACACATATACTCTATATATATATATATATAACTTATGTTCATATACAAATACACATATATGTGATTGCAACTTATGACATATTTGGACAATAGAACAGAATACTCGTATCCATGCTTATGTGTCCTCAGTCCGACAAAACTAACGAAGCAAATCATATGATGCAAACAGTATGTACTGAGGTCCAAACTTGTTATAATGCAAAACACAAATAACAGTATTGGTACTGATATTGCAGGGTGCTGGAAAAGTCTTATACTTTTTGTTAGCTCGAGTCGGGAAGATCAGCAACTAGGGCCGTGTTTCTGGTCGCTTGACCCTTAGACTGGACATATGACCAGCAAACCAACTAGCCATAACATGAATGCGGGCACGAGTAGGTCTCTGATGGATTCTATAAAGCAATATATGTGTTTGTACCATCACAATTCTAGCATAAAGCAAGCTAGCAACACATACAGAATCAATCAACTTCAAAAAAGCGCCCGCCCACAGTCCCCCGGACTCATAAGATATATGACCTGATATGAGACCATCTAACAGTCAGATGATACAACCGATGCTCTCAATCGGAGAATCAACCATGCAGGCCCTGGACAAAGTCCAGAATCTGAAGACCGGACTTGCTGCCGTGCTGGCGCTGCCTGCTTGCATGGTTTTCGGTCGGTTCCGCGAGATCCACACTGCATTTCTGGGGTGGTTTGGGTTCTTCCGGCATTTGAGGTCATGGGCTTTAGGCAAAGTTCCAGCTTTCGGTGTATATGCATCAGTTAGATCGCCGGTGTGGGGTATTTGGGTCGTGCCGAGAGCCGACAGCCCAGGTTTGTGGGAACGAAGATGATGTTGGGAGACTACTGGCCTTTATCCCAGTCAGTCTCCCTGCTCATGATTTTCGGGATTTTGGCTGCGACCGTTGCGTCCGGCATGATGGGAATTAAGTTCGGGAAGAAGGCCGAGGCGATCTTGCCAATGTGATCAAGGATCACATCGCTGCGACTCACCTCGCCGATTGCCTCCCTCCGAAGATGAACCCTTCATCCCCCCAACCCCGCAGCCCTGCCAGTACTGTACCGAAATAAACAACTGTGATAGCCAAACCCGAAAGCTCTGGCAGTCTTTGCGCAAGCCGTATCTCGATGGCCAGACTGTGGCTTGCTTGAAACAGGCAGCGAAAATCGGAGACAAGAGAGTCCGTGCGTGTTTGTGTTGTGCGTTCGCGAGTTGTTTGTTGTCTCTGTCTGTCTGTGCGTGCGTCTGTGGTTGGGACGGCAAGCTGTGCCGCAGAAGTTCTTGTGAATAGGATCGAACAGCGTGGTTTCTTTCGCATGTCATCATAATGTTCAGCTTTGTGAATGCAGCATGGCCTCTAGCACGGCCTCAGGTGGGGATTTCCGAAAGTAGGGGAGCCGAATATAGCACCCTAAATCCTAGGACCCTTAAGATTACGAAAAGGACCCCAAATTCTGGAACCCTAGTTTTCGAAAACTCCCTGGGCGTTCCGATAGACCACGAATCATTCGATCATCCTGTGGAGCGCCGGCGCTGATTACCAACTCACCCAGCACCTTCAGCACAGGATGTACAAACCGCTCTGTGAGCGAGCTTCGGATTGCTCCATCCTGCAAGCAAAGTTAAGGCAAGCATACGCGGCACGCCCCTAAACCCTAAACCCTCCCTGCAATGCGGGCTCCGTCCTTATGAACCCAAAACCCTAAACCGACACCCTAGTTTTTCTCCCACACGTCGTTGTTCCCTGCGTCTCAGACCCCGAAGCAACTAGAAGCTTGTCTCTCTCTCTCTCTCTCTCTCTGTGTATATAAAGTCTTCTGTATTACCCGTTATATACATACCAATACCGTAAATCCCATTGTCTGAGCATCTCGTCCTTGGGTGCAGGAGGGAGGTCTGGACCAGGAGACCCAAAAAGTGGGGAGCTGAGGAAGAGACTCGGGTAGCTTCTTTCATGTATTGAGGAGACCCCTTAAAGGGGACCCTACTGTACTTCTGGTTTTCTTAAAAGGGACCCTATTGAGAGGGACTATATCCTCAAAGGTCCCCAGGCCTTGCAAAATCCACAAGTCAAGGAATAATCCCTAAATCAACCCAAGCTATAATTATTCCTTAACTAGTTGAATATTGGAAGGTCTGGGTTTTTCTGAGGCATCGGCCCTGTATGTTTACATCGCGCTCACTTGAACTATCGAATCTGCTGCTTCGATCCACAGGGGAATTTGGGGCCTGGCGGAGACGTTCTTGAGCCTCCTCCCCGCCAAGCCCCTCTGGGGTTTGAGTTTAGGAATTATAGGCTTTTGGTTTTGGGGGTTTCGGGTTTACGGTTTGGGGCAAGGTGAGGACTTTCTACGGAACCCTGCAGCCTGCCGTTCAAGCTCCCACAAAAGCCTTGCAAGTGCCCGCTTGGTAGCTGAGTGGATACACTTTACAATTTTGGGGATCAGATTACCCGCTATAAAACTAAACGTGTACATCTTTTTGGGGATTCAGAATTCAGCCACTAAGAAACCCCCAAGCCCTATTCTTATTATCAAAGCCCCTACGTTAAGTTAATGTCTTTTAGACGCAGGGGCATCGCCCAGGCGCTGCTGAGGGTGGAGTACTTGAAACAGCAGCTCCAGAAGCTTCGAGACACTGGTGTCTCTTTGAAGAGTCTGCGCCTCAGGGTTTAGGGTTCAGGGCGTAGGGCTGATAGCACAGAGCCTGGGTTCAATCAAGGGTGTACGGCCAGACTCTCTTTGAAGAGTGTTTAAGGTTTAGGGCGGCAAACTACCAGGCGTCCTTGCAAGCAAGCCTGCAGCAAAAGGGCTACTCTCTGCAAGTCCGTGCTTAAAAAGGGCTAGAGTAGAGTCTCTTTGTTGAAGAACTTCAGGGTTTCGGGTTCAGGGTTTAGGCTGGAGTCTCCCTGAAGAGTCTGTGCTCCACATGGCTTGGGGACGTCTGGGGTTTAGGGCTCAAGTACTCGGCTGAAGGGATTCTGGGCTTAGTGCGTTGCAGTCCGTGCAGCTGCACATGAAGTGGTGTAATTAAGCACTGAGGCCATGCTTGTGTAGGATGGATGGAGACAGATGTTGTTTAGAGTCCGGGTTTAAATGTTGGGAGGGTGTAAACAGATAGTTAGACTGTTGCATGCGTGCTTGCTGCTGCATTTACCTTTTGCACAACGACGTGTGTGCTTGCTGTTGCCCTTGACGGGACTTTGCTGTTTATGCAGCGACATTTTCGGGCTTTAAGTGCCTGGCCTGTTTGACCTGCAGGAATGAGTCTGCCAACTTGTTTTACCAATATCTACAACTAAGTACTTATTGTCCTGATGATAGCATCTTTTGACATGACTCTCGTAGGCAAACTCTGTTTATGCATGATTGTTACCCGTAGGGATCATCGTTCCTTCGCAGTCTTAGTGTCTCTGGGCCTGGAGCCGTCGCAGACAAATCGGACTTCAATGAAAACCTACAAAGCTTACGCTTCTGACAGCCAGGCGAGCTGGAGGCAGTGGTCGCCAAGTGCGTGAAGTTCGACCTCGAGAAAGAGGAGGCACTGCAGCGTGGGCGATTCTTTGAAAACAACTTTGGCGCGACAGCAGTCAGCTGTGAGTAGGGCTTGCGGCTTCGGGTTTAAACGTAGGGATCTGTTTCGGGCTCATTTTTCAATGTTTTTAGGGCCCCTAAGCCCTAAACCCTAGACTTGTATATGGGGAACCCTGGACTTGAGTCCAGTTGCAAAAGGGCTTCTCAACTCCTCAGGTTGCACGGCTTCACGCGCGTGCCCAAGAGTTGCTTCGCAAGCCAGGCCAGGTCCCCAGGGCTTGGGATTGTTCTCGTAAGCCCAGCTCCGCACCTCGCAACCCCAAGCCCGTCCGGGGGATGGGCTGGGGCTGGGTTGCGAACTTCGTGCTGCGACTATGTTATATTGCGAACTTCGTGCTGCGACTATGTTATATACATTGAAAACTACACGAATATAAGTGTTTCTGTATGGTCTTCTACTGTATAAAGGACATTGTAGAACAATTGACAGAACCTAGGGCATGTTGCATCGGTCAGATAGCCCTAACTGGCAGGCTGCTGTATATGAAGGACACAAGAAGCCATCACGCTTTGTCCAACCTCGACCTCGGGCACTTCAACGAAACACCTGGCAAGCTGCCTCCACTTCCGTTCGGCCCCGGTTAAACAGCGTCCCACTCCTCCCATCGCCAAGATATCGGTACGGTGAACGACTGAACTGACTAATACAGACGACTTCGTCGATAGAGATGAGGAGTTCATTTTTTGTTGTGTGCCCGTGCACAGTATCCTTCGAACTGCTACTAGTATGGTCATCCTCAACAGAGGGGCCCCTGCCCCACAAAAGCTACACAACTGCAGTCAGATCAACCGCAGAAGGCCACCAAGCTTGTTTTCAAAAAGACCCTAAACCCTAAACCCAAAGCCTGGTTTCAACAAGACTCCTATGGTCGAGGCCGGCAGGGCTACAGCAGCCCGACAGCCAGCAAGGGGCTCAGACCATCCTCGCATACTTAGCTGTGGAGCTCTGAGCTGTTTCCAGGATCGACAGGTGATCATGATTGAATCAGGCCCGGCAAAGCTTCACACCGGACTTAACCATGGAGAGCAAGACATGCCGCTGCCAATCTGGCATGAGCACCAGTATTGATCGTGGTAATATATGGGCCTTCATAATTAGAACAGGGTTTTGGGGCCCAGTATACTATAACTTTGATAAGGAACCCCGAAAACAGTATAATGGTAGTTATTTAGGCCCCTATAGTATGCGGGGTCCTGAAGTAGCAGTAGCAACAGTTGAGGCTGACTGCAGTGCCAGAGCCCCGTCGTTTCGTTCAGAAATGACCGCCCCAGGCCCTACATCCTGAGTCGGGCTTTAGATGCATGGCATGGGCCCGTTCAGCACCACCGAAGTCATTGGCCAGGCTTTTCTGTGGTTTCCATATCTCTCCGGCGGCATTGCCATCATTGCCCTGGTTGCTCCATGTCCGGTTCTGAATTGAAGTGTGGTCATAGCTGCAACCACTCGCCATGGACATTCGATGTCATGCGTGGTTGGTTATCCCCACAGGTCCTTCTTTAACACTGTAGAGGACGTTCTGGGCCTTTGAAGTTTAGCAGCCAACAGAAGGGATAGCTGCAATAATGACACGTGCAATCGTCGCTATCAACATGTACAGATTACGCCGCTTAGGGTGGCTGTCCATGTTCTACATCCACGTTTTAGCAGATCTGGCATGTTTCGGCGATGCTTACATATCGAGCCCCTCAGGGAGTTTTTCGAGAAAAAAGCAGTGCCTCCAGCAAAAGACTGCTTGTCGGAGGGCTCCGTGGCAGGCTGACGGACCCGAATTCACTTGTCACCGGCAGGCAGTGTAGAGCATGAACCTGTGAGTTTCATGTTTAGGGTCTTCGGGTCGTAAGCTGAAGTAGGGTTTTTCGAAATAGACTGAATCCGTGGAAATCCCCAAACTCGTTATGATGTTCAAGATGAGTAGAATGCTGGTTCTCCTCGAGGATCACATGCTTCGCCAGGTGCATGCCTTGGCAGGCTGCAGAGAGTCCTCATACTTGAGCTTTTGCAATTGAGCAACCTTCATGATAAGATGTAAGGAAGACTCACGACGAGGATGCCTTGAGGTGGTTTCTTTTGAGTCATTCTAGGGAGTTCCACGTCTAGGAGCGGTTTCATGCGGTGCAGTGGCGACTACCGGCTATCACTATGTTCTACTGCCCGATAGCATCTGCATATGATGTAGAGAGAAAGTTCGTTTGTGTGTATTATTCGTTTCATTGCTTGGCACTTAATGCCTGCACTCGGTGAGTTTCACTCAAGCCTGCCGCTTGCTCAGCATGCTGGGAGCGAAGATCAAGCATTTGGCCCTGTTCTTGAATCCCGAAGCCCTCGACCCTAAAACCATAAACCCCCAAAACTTTAAACCCTAAAATCCTAAA